CCCAGAAGTTCTTGAATCGTGGACATACAGTCTATACGAGCGAGGAGCTTTTTGAACTTTAAAGATATTCAAGGAAGCTGCAATCAATTACAGAATTTAATTATTCAAAACGTGAATATTTTACAGAACTGGAAGGAATACATTCATATCATCGAGACGATAGAAAAAGTCCTAATTTTAACAATGAGGAAATAATAATACTTGAGAAATACTTCATTTTTAGCAGCATATTAAAATTGAAATTGCTGACAAAAATTAAACGCAAATTAACAGCAGGAAATTTTTTTCTTCTCTTAGGATGGATTTATCGTAGAAATTGGCTTTACTTGTGTGAGAGATCGACAAGTCAAATTTATTTATTGTGCTATTCAAATATATCTTTTCAAAATTCCTTATTTGGTCTGTTATCTATTTCACAATCTGTAGCATGCAACGGTTTAGCATGTCTATTCAAGAGCAAGGTTAATTATTCTTTGGTTCGGTATTCGGTGATCAGAGGTCAGGTGGTGCGTATTGGTGGTTACAGGTACCTTTTGTTCGAACTGGCCTATCACTCAGTTACAGACTGACGATGACATCATCTGAAGGAGACTTCCCACCGAGCTCTGTTTGTTTCACTTTTATTTTCTTTTAATTTTGTAAAAGAATTGTTATTGCCTTGCTATTACTTCCATTTTGAATTCCATTTTACAGCGAAACCATATATGCATTAATGAATTTTAGGAATGTATAATTATTGATCGGGGTCTAGTGCTATAAGTTAGTGAATTGAAGTGCCGGAATTGATCAGTGAAACATTAGTTAGTGCAGTATTGAAAAAAAAGCTTGCTCTGCAAACGCATCCTTTAATTTTTTCAGCAATTTAGAATCGTTACCTACGTATATTTTTTTCCATTATAGTGGGATAATTTCAATGAAAACTATATCATGAGGAATAAGTACGGCCGTCATAAGGACAAGACTGGTCGTTGGGTGCCGAATAATCCTGGAACTTCAATCAATGCACAAAAATTCGGTAACTTTCGTTATTAAAGTCGTTTATCACTAATATTTTTTAAGCATTTGCGGAATGATCGATAGAGATGTGATAATTTTTTTATAAATCTTTCACATTCTACAAGAGGTGAAATGAAGCATGAAAATATGTTAGACTACACACGTCTTAGGAAGAAAATAATTATGAACATCGCTTACTGAGTTTGATTGCTTGATATATTTCAGTTAGAGCAATTTAGACCAAACTGTAATACTTCTTTATTGGAAATAAGAGAATAACTTTAATCTTAAAATGTCACTCTATTTCAAAAATGGAATTTATGTATTTCTTTTTTCCTTAATTGTTGCTTTCTTTCCTAATTCTTGTTAAAATATGAATGAAATTTTTTGTATATTGTTTTGAAGGTGAAGACAGAACTCCTTACATAGTCGAATCAAAGGAAAAATTTGACATAAATAGGCGTCCAGAAGCTGGCTATTACTTGGATTATTTGCTCAATGAGAAAATTGTAATGGATGGACCTGGCAAAAATGTTATCGTTGTAAAGTTGGTTATTATTATTTTAAAGAATTTATTAGCATCACGTATCAGATTTTATTTAATGGTTTTTGATTATATCCATTTGGAATTATCATTCCGTCTACTGTTTCCACTTTTTAATGGAAAATCGTTTCAATTTTTAACGGCGGTCTAATATCCGCAAAATGTTTTGATAATTTTGTAGGTACTAAAGAAAACTTGATGCATGTTGAGAAGTTGAAAAAAAGATATTGAAAAATGTTGATGTATTTTACATGTTGAAAAAAAAGATGCATGTTGATGCATATTGAAAAAAAGAGAATCTATCAGCTCAATTTAATCTACTTGTCATAAGTAATAATTGATATTTCCAATAATCAGTTATACTCGATTGTGTGTATAATTGTATAGCAAATTTAAAAGTATTAAATATTTTTGCTATTCATTTTATTTAGATCGTTTGAAGAAATGAATCTGGATTCAACACTTATGCAAAATATTCAGAGGAAGAATTATTTTAAACCATTACCCATACAGAGAGCAACATTTTCCTTAATTCAAGCCGGCAAGCAATTTTATTTGAAAATTTCATATAATGCATTTTTTAAATTAGGCCGATTTAAACATGTTACTTTATCCTTACTACCAAGCTAGTTACTGGACATTTAATAATGTACTTGTAACATTTTCAGTCAAGAATAAATATCGCCGACAATAATAGATGAAAAAAGAGAAAACGTTCCTCCAACGTTTTTCATGGTTTGAAATTTAGGCTTTGACGTAATTGGGCATGCAGTAACAGGCGGTGGAAAAACAGCAGCGTTTTTAATACCAGTAATAAATTATATTTCAACTCAAAAAAGCAAAGGCTAGTTTTTAACTGGAATTTTTTGAATTACGCTCATGCTAGTAATTATCTTTATCGTGCTTGTTTTTTCGTTGACAACATTTCCTTTAATTTAATTGCTATCTTTTTTAAAACGATTTTTATTGTGTTTATCTACATTTTGTAAACTTGTAATCTATTAAGGATTTTATTAAGAAAATAATATTTTTGTTTGAAGCTGCATCTGAAAGGAATATATATCCTTACTGCATAGTCGTTTCACCAACTAAGGAGCTTGCTGAACAGTTATATGAAGACACACTAGTATTATCTGCTGGTATATTAATTTCAATTCAGTTGATAAAAAGAATGTTATACGAGTGAAATTTTGCATTCAAAATTTGTTATCTCAGCATTTGATTTGGTTTCACTTCACTATTTCTTTGACAGTATATTACTTTTTTTCCGAAAGAAAGTAATCAAGTCTAATTCACCCGGAACTTTTGATTGAAGAACTTCGCTGATATTTCTTGGAAACTAGTGCGTAAATTAGTAAACCTGAGCTTGAAAACTTGGAAAGTAATCACTAAGAGTAATTTAGATAGTGTTTTTCAGATTTGAATTGCATACCTGTATTAAGCTTTGGTGAGATATGCCGCCAAGATAACATTCTCCGTATCAAAGATGGATGTGATATATTCATTTGTACTGTTGGTCGACTTTGTGACTATCTTCAGAATGAAGTTGTAAGTTGAAATGATTTTATCTAATTTCACAAATTTTATGGATTATGCGTGCTCAGGTTGCATTGCATAAGCAGTTTTTTTCTTAAATATATATTGGAAAGCTCAATCTTTCCCGTGTTTTTTTCAAACAGTTTGCAAGGGAGGTCGTTATTCTACCCGTAGTCAAACAGCAATTTGCCACTCGAGTCTAATTTAACTTACTATAACCTAAATTCAATATTTTTGCAATAAAACGTATTACAGTTGAAGTTGCACCATCTACATTTTTTGGTTTTTGATGAAGCAGACAGACTCTTACAGTTGGATGGGTTTCATGATGATTTGGTCGAAAATCTTTTGCCAAAATGTCGTCCAGTAAGTCATAGCAGTTTAGTTTCCTTAGCTCCTTAATAGTAGAAGTTTTCCGTTACCTTCCAGCATTAATTTAAAATTCGGCAGCAAATTGTGATTGTAATTTCAACTTTCTGCTACTTGATGCGCTGTTCTCAGATATCACTATTAAATAAAAATCAAAAAAATCAAAAAAACGGTATTAAACGATGCTGGTAATGTAATATTAAATTTAGCATAGAAGTAAATTTAAGTTTTACTTTCGGTTATCTCTTTGTTTTTTATTTAACTTTATTTTTTTAAATTTATTTTTCTCCTTGTTTGTGTGTATACAGAGTATTGAATGTTGTTCCTAAATTCTTGCTGTATCTTGTTTGTTAGGAATCGTTATTTGCGGAAGGGAAAATGATTAAAATTTCATTCTTCATAACTTAAAAACTCTTATTTTGAATAAGCAATATCTGAAGAAAACGTAAATTTGCATCTAACCCTGAATGTATTGTTTTTTTGTCTTAATAATTATAGATTCCAAATCTCCGAAAACTGTTATTCAGTGCTACAGACTATAACGACCTTGCTGAACTGAAAGAAGAATTTTCGATGCCGAACGCTACTAAAGTTGTTGTTGGTGTTCTGAACAGTGTAAATCCCTTTGTCGAACAGCGAGTTTTAAATGTATTTTTTTTTTAAATCTCTGATTTTATTCGAGATTTTTATTTAATACCTGATAATTAAACGATTTCAAAAAATGATTGTAACTTTTATGAGTTTTCATTAATTTTAATGAATTCAGATTTCCGAATCTTGCTTCAAATGTTAGTTAAATGCATCGCTGTTAAATTACACATATTCAATTTCAGGTGGAAGTTCATGAAAAGCGTGAGAAACTGTTGGCTTTGGTGCAGAAGACGTATCTCAATAGTAATCAATATTAATGATAACTTTAATTTATATTTTAACCTAAAACTGTTTTCGGAGATAGGCTATGATTTTTTGTTTTATAAATTTTTAACTAAAGCAAAGAACTGTGAACATAAGCTAAGTATAAGTATGCATTTATTGGGTGCAAACAGTAAAGAAAAATAGCACAATGTTTTACTTCATCGATTTCAAGTAAATCATAAAGTTTAGAGCACTACAAAGTATGAGTATTAAATAAAACAATTTATAACTGCAAATGCCAGAGAAATCAAATGCGTTATTTATAAAGTCATTTAGTAATGAATCTGATTTCCTTAGAAAACTAATTCTTTCACAGCGCTTGATTCTTTGTTACAGACATTGATAAAAAAACGCCCAAAACAATTATTTTTGTTAACACAAAACGTTTTGCAACAGTTATTGCATGCTATCTATCGTTGAAAGGATATAAAGCTTATCCAATTCATGGGTGCGCTACTATTTCTAAATATGACCTGAAATTGCAATATTTTGAATCATTTCGATGATAGAAAAAGATTTGAACGAAATGCTATTTTATCATTTTTATATCCATGAAATATCTTCGGCTAGAATTATAACTGTTAAGAAATATGATTTCAGGTTGACTTCGGTACTTTTTTTCAGAAATCTTACTGCAAAATTACGGAGAGAAGCGATCGAGGCCTTGCAAAGTGGTGATTGTGATATACTAGTATCTACCGATTTGGCGGCGCGAGGTTTGGATATCAAGGGCATATCACACGTATATTATTTCAAGACTATGGAACTCGGAAATCAAAAACTGTTAGATGAGAATATTTTGAGACATCCCAAATAATGTTACTCTGCGGAGATATGAAATTTTTTTGGTCTCAAAATTTGAAGCCACGATATTGCTGAATATCTTGTTGTTTTTTCAAATCTCCTTCATCCATGTTTGCTTGCTATTATTTAGGTAATAAATTACGAAATACCGAAGTCTGAAAGCTTTCTGTCATATATTCATCGCGTTGGACGTACCGGACGTGTTGGAAATTTTGGCCGTGCTACGACGTTTTTTGCTCCATCTGTAGATCGCGGTATGGCTCTGCGTCTATATGGGGTACTGCTTTATACATTTTTTAAGATATATAATATTTCTTGTTGGTTTTCGAAAGCATCAATTAATTCGAATTATCAATTATTTTAAAAATTTTCTTAAGTTATGGGACTAACCTATCGTAGTTTTAAGTTTTCATGAATTCAATGAACTTTGCATCCTGCTGAATTTTTAAATGAAATTCAAAGCTATCGAAAGTTCTTGATTTTATGCTAGCTTTACATTCACTTTTTTATATTTTAGTGGCTTCAAATGAATAAACAAGAAATACCTACCTTTCTGTTTAAAGAAGTCGAGCGGCAAGTAGGTATCGAGAATTTGCAAAAGATAGTATGGGAAGAATATGAGCAAGCTTTGTATATGGAAAGCAGTGATGGAGAAATGGATCACTGAAGCTAGGAAAAAACTACCTCACACCACTAATTTTGTTATTTTCCTCTGACGCATCACTATGTCATTTGGTATAGACTTTCGAATGAAATAATTGTTTGTCATTTTTTTTTGCTGTTCTGATCTAATCGTTTCAGAATTTCATTTATTGACTTTGATCTACTTTAAGCACGTTTTTGTCCATATTCTACAAGATATCAACTTTTTTAATCTTCATCAGTGTTTATCGATCCTGTGCAAAGCGTTTTTTCTTTCTTGCATTACTGGAGAAGTGTTGTGAAACATAACTACTTGTGATATATGTATATAGCTGATAGGACCATTTCATTTTCATGAGATGTCGATGGTTTAAACTTGGACCATCAGTTTGAAAGAATATATGAATTTTAATGAATGCAAAGATTTTTTTTATCCATATTTTCAAGGATGATTTAGTTTAATTCGAGCTCAATTCAGGAAATACTACGGTTGCAGGAAATATTTGTTATGCTTATGGCGCTCTTTTCTGTTAGCTTTGATGATTAAAGTAGCAATAAAATTAATCTCGTATTCAAGATTGCTTATATCATGTTCTCTTATAACTTTAATGTTTAGTGCTTTTAAATGAGAGAAAATTTTATGGAACTAGATGGCAACAATATTTCTTCCAGATTGATCCCTATATGCACAGGAGAGTGAATCATGTTTGAGAATAGCATTTAAATTAATCTCGCATCAATT